CATCTATCTATACCATCACATATACATACATAAATATACTCGTCTATCCATTTATCATGTATCCATATATGAATTATACCTATTATCCATTCATACATACATATGTATATATACTTATTTACATCCATATATATATATATATATACATACATCTATATGTATATCTACCCATGATCTATACACATCTATTGATCCATAATGCCTATGCACATCTATCCACAAATAATACCTACATCCCTTATTTAAGTAAAATTTCTAGGTGTTCTGTTTATACTGCTTAGTTCAAATAAATCAAAAGCAGTTAGTGTCATGGTTACACACATGCACACCCAATTTTCTCTTTTCCAAGAATAATTAACTATAGCAGCTTTTCCATTCCACTGTCTGCAGAGCAATAAATTACAGACCAAAAAAAAAGCATGTATTTCAATAGTTTATACTTCAAAAAGCCAACAACACCCATCTTATCTATGAGGATGAATGTGAATGGCCACCTCCCTCCCTTTCCATAAGGCCATCGAGGACCCAATATTAAATAAACTTTTTTGTTTTCAAAATCCATAAGGGGAAGAAGACTTTTCTTCTCCAAGCAGAAAACCTAATGCTATCCTCACAAATTTCCCAGTTACTGCACAACACAGAAATGTCTCCTCTCATCCCTTCCCAAGACTAACAACTATAGAACTCAATTCTTCACATTTAATTTCCTTTTAAAACTGGGTTTCTAGGGGAGGAGGCTGGGCATTTACAGTGTAGCTTTCTGGACTATCTCCCACTGCCTGGGAGTGGACTGTCTGGAACAAGATGCCTTCATTGTTATGCAAATTACATTCCTATGCAAAACTCTACTCTAAGTCCAATATACATTTTTCCCAGACCAGTTTGCCCTCTTCCCCAGTTAGCTTCTATTAAGCAACGGCTCACTGTTTCTTAGGATCAAAAGTCCCCTTTACAGGAAATCTACCTAACATACAGAAGATTTCTTTTTCCCCAAAGCTACTTTTCTTCTTGGTGATCATTCTTTCCTAACAAGGAACTAGAATGTCTTCTGCTAATGTGTCTTCACTGGGTAGGATAGTTGGCTAGAGTACAAGGGAATCTCTACCCTTCCCTGATTATACCTTTTTTCCTTTGCTTTTTTTTTTTTAATCCTCTGAAAAAAACTAAGCAATCAAATTATTTTCTAGAAAGTAAAGGCACCCACAGAGATGCAGCCATGCCTATCTGGTATTTACAGTCCAGACAGGGACCCAAGATATATCTGCACTGCTTAACTGTTTAAAACAAAACAAAAAAAACAAAACAAAACAAAACAAAAACAGGAGGGGAGGGACAGGCCCCTGAGAATAATTTGTATGATGATTTAGTGAACTGAGAGGTCAATATGGCTTAGAATAAAATACTCACACATGGTGAGAAATAAAGAACCAAAAGCCAGGTGGTGGCGTCGAATGTCATTAATCCCAGAACTCAGGAGGCAGAGGCACGCAGATCTCTGTGAGTTCAAGCCTAGCCTGGTCTACAGAGCAAGTTCCAGACACACAGAAATCCTGTCTCAGAAAAACAAAAACAAGT